GCCAGGCAGGCACGGGCTCGATGAGCCCGCAGAGCGCACGATAGCGCCAGCGCGTGCTTGTCCGCCGGAGCCCCTCGGCAAGGCGCGGGCGGCGTTCTGAGGGCCGGCGCGGGCTGCGCGCTGCCGCTGGGGCTGGCCAGGGTAAACACACGTTGGGCCAACACGCGTCCTGAGGATCGTCGATCCACCTCCCGGGGATGGACAGGCCCCCCTTTGGTAAAACGTGGCTTCGTAAAGACGACCTGAGGCCCACACCTGGCGGGCGCAAGCCCGGAAAACAACGGCCACGGCGCCCTCTCGAGAACCGAAAACGGACCATTCACCAATCTGTCCACCCCGGAACCTCCGGAGGTCCGCGCGGCCTTCTTGGGCCGGCGCCAGGGCACCCTTCCCCAGCACCCCGAGGAAGCGCCTCCGGCGCCGTGCCTGGCGCGCTCCTGGGACGGGGGTCCGGCGCCGACCCGAGAAGTCCGCGCGGGCCCCCGAGCGCTTGCGGCAGGCTCGCGCCGCGATGGCGTCGCTGATGGTCTCTCACGGCCTTCCGATGGAGCGAATCTTAGCGGTGCGCACCAGGGGGTGGAGGGAGGGGGGAGGGCTTCCATTTTAGAAGGAGGCTGCTTCTTAGAAGGCGCCGGCCTTACATCCATAGATACGGCCCGCGCCTTCTAAGAAGCAGGGGTGCTTCTAAGAAGCCCTCCACCCTCCCCTCACCCCCTTTCTGCGCGTGGCTGAAAATCGTTCGCCATCGGCCGATTCTGGGCCACTGTCGGCGTTCAAGCTTGAACGCCCGCTCTGGGGTCACCGCCGCGGCAGCGCGGCGCGAACCTACCATATGCTCATGACGCGTTCTGCTCTTCTGGCTGTACTTGATGACGTTGCCGACGATGGTCTCGGGCGAGCCGCCGGTGGGAGTCCAGGTCGCGGACTGGACGTAGACGTTTGTTTTGCCCTGGTCAAGATCTTAGTGGGCCCTGGAAACGACAGGGCCGTTTTTTTACCGGTTCCGTTTTGCCGTTTTTTTGCCGGTTCCGACGCCGTTTTTTCACCGGTTCCGTCGCCGTTTTTGGACTGGTTCTGGCTTCGGTTCCAATCCTGGAGCCGTTTTTGTTGCCGTTTCCGGTCGCCGTTTTTTTTTGCCGTTTCCATTTTCAAAGGACATTCTGTGGGAAACTGCAGAAACGGCCAAAAAACGGCGACCGAAAACGGAATGAAAAACAGCTCCAGGATTGGACCCGGAGCCGGAACCGGTCAAAAAACGGCGACGGAACCGGTAACAAAACGGCGTCGGAACCGGCAAAAAAACGGCACAACGGAACCGGTAAAAAAACGGCCCTGTCGTTTCCGGGGCCCACTAAGGTCAAGATCCATCAACATCGAGTCGGCTGGCGCGGATCGTCGGAAGGTCGGGAGGTCGGAATCGAACCCGATCGGGCCGTGCAGCTTCAGCGTCGGCAGCGTCGCCGTTGGCGCAATCGTCGTCCGAGGGGGGGGAAACGAGGAGGAGGAATGAGGAGGAGGAGGAGGAGGAGGAGGAGGAGGAGGAGGAGAAGCCTCTGGGGCTCAGGCCATTTTGGCGGAGCACAGGGCTCAGGCGCCGCGCCCCCCCTCACGACATTTCCTCGTGAAAGCTCCCGCGGCCAGGCCCGCGGCTGAGCATCAGAGGGCGCGCGCGACCCACGGCGCGCTCGGGACGCCGCAGGGGCTCCCCCGAGCCAGCCTGGCACAAGAGGCAGCGGGCGCAGCGAGGGCGAGCTCGCCTTCTCCTCAGCGTGTTCCAGGCCAAGCGCCTCCTCGAGTCGCATCATAGCACGATGGGGGGAGGCACTTGGACATGCAGGCAGTGCGAGACAAGGAATCCTAACTCTCAGTGGACATGCTCTTGTGGCAACGTGTGGGCTCCTCACCCCGATCCCACCAGACGTTCGGCCAGCAGAAAGAGGGACCAGAAGAAGTCCGCCAGCATTAGGGAGCTGATAGCACAGATTCCAGTTGCAGCACCTGATGAGGCGATCGCCAACATCACGGTGTGGGAGCCGCCGCCGCCCGAGGCGGACGAGCTGAAGATATACAAGTCAAAGGCCCAGTCGAAGCTCCAGAAGTTCGCCAATCTCCTCGTCGCGGTCCGCGACGCTGGGAAAGAGGATCCCGCCCTGGAGTTCGACATCGGAGTGCTCAAATACATGATGAGCGCCTGCAAGGGCTCAGAGAAGCAGTTGCATGAGTTGAAGGCCCAGCTCATCAGCGCCAAAGAAAGGCTCGGCAAGATCCGAGCTAAGGTCGAAGAGCTGCTAGACGAACAGGCGACGCTCTGCCTGATGGTGCAGAAGCTACAGAACTCCATCCAGCAGCTCCGAGAAGCGGAGGACGCACCAGATCATGATGAGGACTGGTTGATGGCCCCGCCAGGAGGAAGTGAACATGGCCTCAGGGCAGCCAGCAGTGCCCAGAGGCCATGGGTGCAAGCGGCGGCTGAGAGGGCGGCAGCACAGGCAGAGGCAAAGGCTCAGTCGGCCAGGGCCGCGGCGGAGGCGATAGCCAGCAGAGTGCCGCCGCCGCCGCCACCAACGCCCAACCAGCCCCTGGCGCAGATGCACGCATACCAGCCACCCCAGAAGGCAGCCCCAAGGGCAGCTTCAGGGGCGGCGCGCAGCCAGCCAGCCACAGCAGCAACGGCGCCGACGGCTACAGAGCCCGCTAGCCCGCGCACCGCCTGGCACAGAGGCCCGCGGGCTGAGGGGCAAGATGGCCCAACGGCAGCGGCAATCACCGCGATGACGGAGCAGATGAAAGCCGTGCAGGCCCAGCAGCAGGCCATCCAGGAGCACCTCTCGAGGATGCAGACGGGCCAGAACTTCCACGCATTCGCCCTGGCCAGGGTATTGGGAGTTGGCATCGGTGCAACGGCAGGTGATGTGCTCATGGACGCGCAGACGATTCAGAAGGCACAGCGGGCGGTGATCTCGGGACTCTCGATCCCCAGTGCGAGCCCCCCTGACCTTCAGGGGTTGGCGCCAGAGCGCACACCGAGGGACGCCGCCCCGACAGCGCCAGATTTTGGCGCAGCCCCCCTGGTGCAGCGCCAGCCACGGGGCCGAGGGCGCCTACACAGCGCAGTGCGAACTTGCCAGAGGCCCCCGTGGCAAAGACACCGCCACCGAAGAGACAGTCGGCATCGCCGAAGCCAGCCAGGGCCCCCAGCATTGGCGCCTCAGCCGAGACAAGGACCCTGGCCGAGGAGAAGGCAGTCCCAGACACACCGAGGGTAAAAGGCGTGTCCAGGGTGACAACAGAGTTGCAGAGGAGCGAGCCCAAGGAGGAGGTCATGCCGATCGATCCAGAGCTACTGATTGCGACGCAGCCAATGGTGATGGAGGAAATGATCCCAGGGCCAGTGCACATCTTGCAGCACATCCAAGGGGCCTCCATCGACTTGACCAGTCAGACGCAGCGCCCCCCCACACCACCGCCGGCGCAGAGGTCGCCTGGATCGCCAGTGGACCCTCCGCAGCCAGCGCCCGCGGCGCTGTTCCCCCCTGCATGGGCAGCAGCAGCATCGTCGGCCGCAGCATCTTCACCGGCAGCATCGTCGGCATCTCATACGCAGGCAGCGGCCTCGTCGGGACCGACGGCAGCGCCAGCGGCAGCAGCAGCGGATGCACCTCCTGCGGCTTCGAGGACCCGACCGCTAGAGGAGGAAGACAAAGAGAAGGACATGGGAGACTCGCCCAACAGGTCCCCCCCCAAGAAGATGCAGTGCCAGGGTTACGAGCTGGAAGACGGGTCCAACTTGTAAGGCCTGGCAGGGTCTCGTGGGGCCCAGTCGAAGTGAGGCGCTTTGAGGCGCATGCACCGATAATTGTCCGACAAGCCAGGGACACGCTTTCTCGGACCTGTTCCACTAGGCCGATTCTTAGGTCGGCCCCTGTCTCGGATATCTCGTCCAAGGGTTGTGGTCTTGGGAATTCGCAGACAGGCAATGCCACCTCCTCGGCCGCCACTTCAGGTGATGCCACTGAGGACTCATCGTCATCTTCCACTCGGTCCAACGGCCGAACGAGGTATCGCTTGCGGGGCAAGACCTCGAAGGAACATATGTTCTTGCCTCGTCCTCGCGAATTACAGCATGCTGTGCATGAGGAGCGAGGACACGAGGCCAATCAAACGTCAATTACGGCTGCGGTTGTGCCCGACCCCCCTCCACCGCCGTCGCACCCCGCCCCGCCCAGGGAGCAGCTCGAAGCAGTTGCTGGGGGGAGTGTGCTGGCCTTGAGGGAGGATGGTGGGTATACTACCTCCCTGCACCTGTTCCCTTTACTTTTCCAGAATCCTGAGAGCAATGGCAGTGGGCACTGTGGTTTTCAGGAGGCGGACAGGATATATCAGGTTTTACTCCAGAACACCAACTGGTTTGAGCTTTGCAATGACGATTTGGGAGACATCCCCTTACATCACACTGCCAAGTTTGCTCTGGATATCTCTGCGCGCGGGGCGCATAGAGCACGGTCAGTACAAATCTATGTCGACGCCTCGTACAGAAAGACGCTCAGGGACTCAGCCTGAGCCTTCGCTGCTGTCGCGATCTCGCCTGATGACACGGTGAGCTTCCTCGGGTGGCAAAAAATGAGCGCATGGGAATCCACAGCAAGGCAGTTCGAAAGGGACGATGTCACTAGTACGACTATCGAGCTCATGGGGATATTATGGAGTTCGCTCTGGATCTTGGGTTTCTTTGGGCCGAACACGGTGCACTCCCCCCAACTCTGGTCATTTTTTGCGATAACCAGTCGGCTGTCAACATATCCTTGGGTTTGGAGGTCCCGTCGGAGAACCTGCACCTGGCCTGGCTTACATATCATGTATACCAGTGTGCGCGCAGGAGACACGGCACTTTGCTTTTGCATGTATGCTGTCACTCTGGGCATCCATGGAATGAGTTGGCAGACAGTTTAGCACGGTCGGACCGAGCGGTTGGGCGCTCACCCCCGCCGGCCTTGCGCGAGGCACTCAGGTACACGAACGACCTCGAGTGGTGGTGGCTTAAGGAGGCACCTATGGCCACAAGAGAAGCTTATCCAATAGGCCCTGACAACACCTTTCGGCATCCTGGGCGCCCTCAAGTGTCGGTGGAGACGCTAAAGGATACTGTTGGATCCCAACCCTCCCAGAAGTCGGTCCCCAAGTCCTGTCAGTTCAGCATCAGCTTGAGGATTCCCACCTTCAACGCCAAGACAGGTAGGGACGCGGAGGCCACGGCGGCTAGACGCGCCAAAACGTCGGGCGAGGTTCTCAGATTGCAGTTTGCTCAGGAACATTGCCACATCGTCGGGGTGCAGGAGGCGCGAAATCCGTCGGGGGAAAAGTGCTCTGCTGGTTACTTTGTGCTTTCTTCGGGATCTGACGGTGGCAAGAACTTGGGCGTGGAACTCTGGATCTCCTTGCACCTACCCTACGGGCGGCGAGGGGGCGAAGACCTGTACCTTGAACAGAAACATTTTAGGCCGCTGTACGCTACCCAGAGGCACCTGGTGGTTGGCTGTCGTGCCCCACCCTTTAGGAAGGTCATCCTGGTTGCCCATGCGTTGCACAACGGAGACGAATATACCTCGCAGCAGAGGAAACAGTGGTGGCGGGACCTCATAGGGATCTGCCGCAAATTGAAAGTCCAGCTGGCTTTCCTGGACGCGAATGCCAGGCTCGGCAGCATCGTGTCTGACGCATTGGGAAGTGAAGGATTCAGGCAGGACGAGGACGAATCGGGCGGACTATTCCACGACATGCTCTTGGAGACGGGTTTGGCCGCCGCCAACACGCTAGTCCCCTCCCTCAGCCAGGACTCGTACACGTTCGTCTCGTCTAAGTCTGAAACAACACACAGAATAGACTACATTGCGGTTGAGCAGAGTATGATTCCCGCATTGGACCAACACCAAGTCCGATATGATACAGATTCCTTCTGCACTGGCAAGGATCATCATCCTGTCTTCATGCGCTTCGAGTCCCAGGGCTCCACCAAGGCAGCGCAACGACAGAGCGGCTACGACGTTTTGGGCACCCAGGACCCTGATAAGGCAGCAGCTTTCAGGATGCACTTGGCAGCTTTTCCCACGGTTCCCCACCATGTCGACATGAATCAGCACTTGCACGACATTATTCACTACATGTACGTGGGCGCACAAACCTGCTCCCCTAAACCTGCACGTGTCCCGATCAAGCCGCATGCATCGGAGGATCTTCTAGGAGTAATCATCTTCAGAGGGCAAGTGCGACAGGCATGGCGTCTCTGGGGCAAGCATGACTCTGGCGGTGTCAGGAGGCTGGTCGCCGCGTCGCTCGAGGCGGGGGACCCCCAGAACATCGCCGATCTAGAGCTGGACTTCTTGGTTTCGGAGCTTTTCCAGGCTTTCGCAGATTGGGATACTCAGATGTTGACGGCAAGCGAGCTAGCTGCGCACATGCTTGAGTTTCTGGTCAGGTCGAAGCCGGCCCTGAGAAGGGCCTTGAAGCACTCCCGCAACAAGCTGTTAGACGACCTCGCGCAGCAGTTGATCAGCGCCAGGTCCTCAAGCGAGAGTCGAGTGGAATGGAAGGCGCTTTGCCAGCTGCAAAGGTTTGGGGGAAAGCGTTCCAGGTTTCCGGTCGAGGGGCTGAGAATCCGACGGGGTCCTCAGGGCGAGGTCTTGGCCACATCTGGGGATCTCTCGGAGGCCCTCACTGACTATTTTGCTGTTGTTGAGAATGGGCAGACACTCAGCTGGGAAGATCTGGTGGAAAGATACAACGCCCTCCCCGATAGTGGTAATGTATACCCCAGGGAGTTGGACATGATCACCCCCTTTCGCAGGCTCAAGCACGACATCATGAAGGCAGCCAAGAGAAGAGGAGCTGGGCCTGACAGACTCAGCAACGATCTTTTCCAGGTCGCTCCACATGAATGCACGCAGATCCTATTGCCGTTGTTCGTGAAGGTAGACATGGCGTCCAGGGAGCCCCTGCTGTTCAAAGGAGGCTGGCAATGCGATCTACACAAATCTGGGCCCCCCGAACCCCTGGAACACTACAGAGGCATCCTTCTAGGATGTCACACGGCGAAGTTGCACCATGCCTTCCTCAGAAGCAAAGAGTTAGATGCATCGATGCACATGCTGTCGGTGGTCCAGCAGGGAGCTCTCCCTCAGCGTGGCACTGACATTGCATCCTTGCATCCTCGGTCGGCCATGATGGCAGCCAAGGCTAGGAAGTGAACATACCCGTCGTTGTACACTGATCTAAAGGCGGCATTCTACTCGGTCACCCGAGGGCTCGTTGCCAGAATGGCCCAGAACAGCGAGGACATTCAAAACACGTTGGCGGACTTGGAGATGCCAAGTTGTCTAGAGCCACTATGCCATGCCCTAGTCGCCAAGCCTGGCGCTCTGGACGGACTTGCGAATAAGCACCTCCTGGAAGCAGTGGCTGACGTGATGGAATGCAACTGGTTCCAAGTACGGGGGGGCACCAGGGTTGTCTCCCCCCGCCTAGGTACGAAGCCAGGCATGCCACTAGCAGACCTCCTGTTCATCATAGCCTTCGACCCAATCATAATCGCGGTCAACAGTAGATTAGGTGCTCTGGGGTACCTTCAGAAGACTATGGATGTGGACCCGTCTCAGAGGATTTTCAGAGGTCGCGAGCACGAACATGTAGAGGAAGATGTATGGGATCCTGCCTTCATGGATGACCTCGTCAACGGCATCGAGCTGTTAGACGCTAGGCTCTGGAAGGAGGCGGCCATCGCCCTCGTCACGATTATGTACGAAGAAACCAAGTCTAGGGGTCTCACCATGAACTGGAAGGCGGGCAAGACGGAGCTCATGGCCTTCTTCAGCGGCACAGGCTCCAGGAAGGCACGAGGGGGGTGTGCGGCCTTGGCCGCCACTGGTCTTCTCGCCCCTTCCATGGGCGCCCCCCTGTGCCTCACTAGAACCTACAAGCACTTGGGAAGTTATCAGGACCACCAAATTTCTCTGGGAACCGAGCTGGCGCACCGATGCCACCAGCAGCGACGTCCTCTCGGGGCGCTGAGGCGCACGGTTTTTTCCCAGAAAGCAAATCAATTTAAGAGCCAGGTTAATTTATGCTACTTCTTTATGCACGTCGCACCTTCTGTTCAATGCCCTCACGTGGCACAAGTTAAACGTCGAACAGATGGCGACCCTGGCGCATAACTATTTGAGCCCGTTTAGATTGGCGGCCGGTCTCAGCTACGACTCTAGTTCAGGCAAGGCTGCTGCAGACTACCGTGTCTTTGTTCCGTGTGAGCTCATGCCCGTTGAGCTGGTGTTGAGGCTCAGGCGGCTGCGATTTCTCCCCAGGCTTCCCAAATCGGCGCCTGCTTGTCTGCTGGCGATCCTCGACGAGTTAGCTCCAGCGCCCGAATCATGGTCCGCATTGCGTTGCGATGACCTGTTGTGGCTCAGCAGACATGTGAATCTAGCCAGAGAATTCTTGCAGTCAGGACCCCCTGCGTGGTGGTTGCGGCTCCTGAGGTCAAGCAGCAACAAGTTTTGGAAGCGTATCTGCAAGCAAGCGGAATCGGCTGCTAGGGCCAAATTTTTAGACGATCAGCGTCATGAAGAATTCCAGGACGGGTGGCGGAGGTGTTGCATCGCCAAGGGTCTTGCGCTCCCGTCGTTTCTGCGTCCGCCGTCGGCTCTTGCCTTGTATCCCTGCCTGGATTGTGGGGCGGTGTTGGCCACCAAGGGCGCATGGGCCTCCCATCGCTCGAAGTGCCACCCCACCTAGACCCCGTCCCCAGCTACGCTTCAGGCACAGTGTGCATGGCATGCGGTCTCAACTTCCACACGCACCTCAGATTGCTCAAACACGTTCGGCATGGCTCTTCGAAGTGCTTGGCGGACCTTATGGCCGTCATCCCCCCGCTGGGCCCCGAACAGGTGATGATGGCTAAGGCGGAGGACGCGGAGCTAGCACGCACGCTCCGTGAGAAAGGCCACTATGCGGAGTCAGCGCAGCTGCCGCCTGTCCTCACGACAGGCCCTAGGCTGAGGGGGGCGGCTGCCTCCAAGGGCCCCCCCCCACTAGCATGCCGAGAATATCTTGCCAACCCGTGTGTATCCAGGAAGAGATACCCACTCGGGCGGCGGCCCACCTGCCCGCGGCCCCTGGCACCAAGTACATTATGATTCTCCGTGCAGCTCCCAGGAGTCAAGGCGACATCCAGGATAGAGCGGAGAAGTCCGGTGCCATGGCGGGCATGAATGTTTTTGTTCTGTCACTAAATATCCTCGAGCTTTTCCAGAATTCCGTCAAGGGATTTCACAAGGAGCTGTTGTTCATTACTGATCTTATTATAGCTGGGCGTGTTGTTGGTCTTTTGGCTGACTTTCTTCTTTCCTCGTGGGACCCTGCACCCCGCTGCAAAGCCAAGGGTGGAGAAAGCAGGCCTTTAAGGAGCTGCGATGAGCCATGGGGGGTTTCTGCCAGGTCGCCCTCGGAGTGGAGGCAGCTGGAGCTCGACAATGCGTGCCTTCGGGCAGCACTGACGCTGGCGCTGTGTGCGGCGTCCTCGGGCCTGGCGACCTTGCTCATTTTAAACTCACCTGCTCCGCAAGCCAGTTTGCCCTGTATTTGGAAGGTCCCCGAGGTCAGGTTCCTGTGCTCCCTGCAGGCAACGTCTCCGACAATCACGTCGAGCTGTGTGCCCATTGGGGACCGTCAGTGCCTGTGCATGAATGCCGTGCCGATCCTGGCCCCTCCTGACAGCAGCCAGGTAGAGTTCTACGTAGCTGCCGTTAACACGCAGGCAGCCTCACAACGCTGTGCCCCCACGCCTCCTGGGGATGCATGGCTAGAGGCGTCAGTTGCCCATCTATACGCCCCGCTCGATATGTATTGCGAGTCGGGCTGATGCTGGCCATTGCTGCTCTCCTCGTCCCCCGCTATACTTGCCGCCTCTCTCACCGCTGACGTATGCATGTGTGGGCACCTCAGACGTTGGTCCTCAGGGCTGTGGGAAGAAGAAGAAGGAGGAGGAGGCGGAGGAGGAGGAGGAGGAGGAGAAAGCAGAAAGAAGAGGGGGAGGGGGAGGGGGAAGAGAAGGAGGAGGAAGAAGAGGAGGAAGAGGAGGAAGAGGAGAAGGAGGAGGAGGAGGAGGGGCACAAACGCAACAGGCTCGCACCGAATGTCGGTCTGACGTGAAAAGGAGGAGGGACAAGAGGAGGAGGAAGAGGAGGTGGAGGAGGAAGAGGAGGAGGAGAAGGGGGAGGAAGCGGGGGGAGAGGAGGAGGAAGAGGAGGAGGAGGAGGAAGAGGAGGAGGATGAGAAGGGGGAGGAGGAGGAGGAGTAGGAGGAGGAGGAGGAAGCCGCCTGGGGCAGCGCTCACCGCGACTGCGCCTGGGCAGCCGCTCACCGCGACTGCGCGCGAGGTGGCCTTCCTGCCCTTGGCGGGCAGCGGGCTTGGCCAGCACAGCTTGGAGGAGCGACGTCTGCCCGCGTTCGTGGGCTCCTGGCAGGCGTGCTTGGCGGAGGTGCGCCGCGAGCTCGGCGAGCCCAGCCTCCAGGCCTTCACCGCCGCCTGCCCTCAGACGTGGGCGACGGCCGAGCAAGCGGGGCGGCTGGCTGGGACGAGCGCCACTGCCTGGGTCTACGCCGCAGCCGAGCGCCGGGAGAAGGCGCAGAAGCGTTTGACTCAGCCGGCGCAGCAGCAGCGACGCGCCCGCCTGCTGGCCTCCTTGCCGGCGAGCGAAGCCGCCAGCCTCCGCTCCGCGGGCGGCAAAGGCGCGGGCGCCTTCCTCTTGCCCCCGACGCGGCAAGACCACCTCCTGGCTGACGAGCACCTGCAACCAGCGCTCGCCCTCCGGCTGCGCTTGCCACTGCCCGAGGGAGCCAGCCCCACCTGCCTGCGGCGGAGGAGCGACGGCACGGTCTGCGGCTGCGACCTGCGCGCGGACCCCGGCCACGCGGCAGGCTGCCCCGCGGGCGGCCTGGCCATCGAGAAGCACGACGGCGTGCGCGACTGGCTGGCCAGCTGGCTGGCTGAGCAGGGCGCCGCGGGCGTGGACACCGAGCAGGCCGTGCCAGCCTGGGACCGCGCCCGCCCGGACGGCAGCGTGGAAGCCGCGCGCTTGGACGTGACCTACGTTGACCCTGTCGCTGGGCGGCAGTACGTCGACGTCACGGTCACCGACGCTGCGCTCGGAGCTGGCACGGGCGCGGGCCGCAGCCGCGCGACCAGGGACGGCGCCGCGGCCGCAGCGGCCGAAGAGCGCAAGCACCGGCGCTACCCAGGGCCCGCGCTCCTCGCCTTCGCACTCGAGACGCTCGGCCGGCCTGGGAAGGAGGCGCAGGCCCTGCTGCGCACTTGGTCTGCCAGGGACCCACAAGTCCTCGCGGCCGCGCGGCAAAGCCTCTCTGCTTCGCTGCAGCGGGGCAACGCCGAAGCCTGGCGGACTGCCGTGCTGCCGCGGGGCGGCGCGGCGCGGCGGACGCCTGCCGCGAACCCCGGCGCACCGCCAGCGCGGCGTGCGCGGCGCGCGTAAGCGCGCCTGCCCTGGCTGCTGACCGCTGACCGGGCGCGACCCGCGGCCCGGCCCCCTGGCGCCGCCGCAGCTGCTGGAGCTGCACCCCACGCCGCGGACGCTGCGGCGTGGCCGCCGCGGGCGCGCATTGGGCCAGGTGGAGGAGGATTCAGACCTCCTACGTCACAACCACCTGGCCCGCGGCCCGCGGCGGCGCCCGGCGCCGCGCGGCACGGCGCCCTGCGGCGGCGACTCGCGGCGGCGCGCCGGCGGCGGCGCGCGGCGGCGGCACGGCGTCGACCGCGCGGCGGCGGCGGCCGCGACGGCGCCTGGCGGCGCAGACGCCTCGCCCGGCGGCGGGCGGCAGCTGCGGCGGCTCGCGGCGGCGCGCGGCGGGGCGCGGCGGCCGCGCGTGCCGCGCTCGCCGAAAGGCCCCGGGGCTCCCCGCGGACTCGGGAGCCCCGGGGCCACCGCCGCAGGAGGAGGAGGAGGAGGAGGAGGAGGAGGAGGAGGAGGAGGAGGAGGAGGACGCGAGGAGGAGGGGAGGAGGAGGATGAGGAGGAGGAGGAAGGAGGAGGGGGGGGGGAGCGGAGGAGGGGGAGAATCGACATCGAATCGGATCGGGACGGGCCCTGCCTGGTTCTTGGCCACGACCGTGAGGTGCCCGCGGTCCCCCGGCAGGCGCAGGGAGGCGAAGGCCACGGCGGGGCTCCCGAGGACCAGCTCGTCCTTGGCGCCCTCCAGCGAGTAGATGCCGAGGGCCGACGGCCGGGGGCTGCCCAAGGTGCCCCTGGCACGAGGTGCCCCCAGCTTCTCGCAGGGGGACGAGGAGGGGGAGGGGGAGGGGGAGGAGGAGGAGGAGGAGGGGGAGGAGGAGGAGGACGAGGAGGAGGAGGAGGAGGAGGATGAGGAGGAGGAGGAGGGGGAGGAGGAGGAGGGCTTGTCGCTCCATCCTGGGGCCCCTAGGGTTAGGCTGGGCATGTTCCCCTACAGGCGAAGGTTGGACGAAACATTACAACTAGTCAAAAAATGCTCAAGAACAGTTCTTAAAAAATTGTTAGAATCGTCCCCCGACTATTTTCGGACTATTTTGGAATATTCCTCCTGTAGAGGGACTTGCCCGACTTGACCCTGGGGCCCTCTGGGCCTCGTGAGGGGTGCTCTGGAGGCCGCGGGAGCCTCCGTGGAGATCCTGGGGGCACCCTGGGCCAGGAGCACTTCTGGCAACACCCGAGACAGCACGTACCTCAAGACGAAGCCAGGACGAAGACAAATCGAGAAGCTCTGAGATCCGGCGGCTCTGGAGGATGTGCCGGGCGCCGCGGCCTTCTCGGGGCGTTCCAGAACGCTCTGCGAGCGTTCCGGAAAGCTCTGGAAAGGATCATCCTCGTCCCAAGCCCGTCCGAGTACCTTTCGGAGCAGGCTCGGGGGGGCGGAGGTGTCTGGACGTTTTCGTCGGCCAGCCTCGGGATGCCTTCCAGCGGCTGCGCCTCGCCGAGGGCGTTCCTGGGGTGCCCGGATCGTCCCGAACGGCCGGCGAAGACCCGAATCATGACCCGAATCGCTACAAAGAAAACCACGAAAAAATGGTTTTGACAGTACGTACCACGCGCCCATCTCGCCGTTGTCCTCGTCTCCGCACCAGCCCTCCGTGGTGTACAGCTTGTCCATCACGCGGCGCAAGTACTTGTCTGCCAGCTCGTCGCACCCTGCCTTCTTCGCGACCCAGAGCACCTCGTGCGACGGCTGGTTGCAGTGGTTGTACATGCCGAAGTCCTTCTCAAAGAAACAAACAGATAGGAGGATAACATTTTGGTGGAAGAACCTGCTTATCGGATGAGGAGGTTTTCGGTGGAGAAGCAAGAGGAATCTCGGAGGAGGAAGATGAGTCTTGGATGAAGAGGATTTGGGGAGGAAGCGGAGGAAGATGGGGAAGAGGAGGGCTTGGGGAGGAGGAGGAGGAGGAGGAGGAGGAATAAACATATTTTCGGAGGAGGAGGAGGAGGAGGAGGAGGCGGAGGACATGCGGAAATCCTTCTGCACCGCCTCGTGCTCGCGCATCTCGTGGATGTCGTAGCCGTAGCCACCGTTGTAGAAAGCGGGCGGGCCCGTGTGCTCGAGGTCCTCCCTGATGGCGCTGCACAACTCCCCACCGAAGAGCTCCTGCAGCAGCTCCACGTCGTGTGGCATGTAGTACCGGTAGTGGTAGGCGCTCCCCTCGGTGAAGCCGCGGCGCCAGGCCAGCGGCTCAAAGCCGTCGATGAACTCTCCACTCGAGTCCCTCCTCAGTGTCCGGCTGACCGCTCGGCCGCTCGCGCCGCCCGATCCCGTGATCCGATCGCAGCGCCAGCGGGCCTCCCGTGCCCCCCTGCCTCCTCCATCCTCCTCCATCCTCCTCCTCCTCCTCCTCCTCCTCCTCCTCCTCCTCCTCCCCCTCCTCCTCCTCCTCCTCCTCCTCCTCCTCCTCCTCCTCCTCCTCCCTCTCTCCTCCTCCTCCCTCTCCTCCTCTCCTCCTGCCTCCTCCTCCCCTCCTCTCCTCATTCCTCCTCCTCCTCCTCCTCCTCCTCCTCCTCCTCCTCCTCCTCCTGATCACGATTGCCACCTCGCCGATCACGGATCGATCATGCGTTCAAGCTCGGACGATCGCGTGATCAGACCGAACCGATCATGCGATCGGCGATCCTGGGGTCCCCCGACCGCTGGGATCCGTGATGGCCGATCGCGTGCCCGGCGGACGCCGAGAGCCCCTCGGCTGGAAGAACTTCGAGCTGTCGTTGAACAGCGCCCTGCTCGCCCTCCTGGCTCGCTCGGACATCCTCTGCGCGTGCTCGGCGTGGCCGAGCTTCTCCGCGGCGCGCGCGACGGCCGCGTCGGCCACGGCGTTGTTGAGACTCCTCGCCACCGTCTCGATGCCCCACCCCAGGAGGGAGCTCTCGCCCGTGCGCTTCGCCAGCCGAATATCCGGGTAGGCCGGGTAGGACGGGGAGCCGACCTTGCGCAGCATGCCGTCGACGACAAAGCCGTGGCTGCCGTTGCTGGCTCCGGTTAGCTTCTTGTCGCTGACCAGCATGCTCTTCCTTCGAGGCCAGCCAGATGGGGTCCGACCAGATGGGGCTGGAGGATTGCGCCGCACCGCCGATGCATCGCCGATGCATCGTCGAGACATCGACGAGGCATCGGCGACGTCGGCGGTGAATCGGCGACGCCGGCGTGGAGAACATCGGGCTCCACATCGAGCCGCATCGCCGATGCGGCGCAATCCTCCGACTCCATCTACTCGGACCCCATCAAGGAGGCCTAGAGCTGTGGGCCTGGCACCCAAGGTCACTCTTGCGAAGGGTCACTCCTACGTGCAACCGACAATCCCTGAGATCCGACGTCGCGACAAATTTGAAACATCGTCGTAAATCACGACCGGAGCCCTAGACCCCATCTTCCTGCTGCACTCTTTGAGCCGGATCGATCTGTGACGGCCAACCTGGGCGAAAACGCCTGGTGCGAAGAAAATGCAAATGCAAGGGTCACTCTTGCGCCCCATGAACATCATGTCTCGGAGCTCCGAGAAATCACGTCCATGCCGCTTCTTGTTCTTCGAGCGTATCCGACTCCTCGGGTTCAGCGTCACCCTCGACATCCGCCTGCCGTCACCTTCGGCCACGAAGCCCGCCTGGTCGTACTCCAAGAGCTCCCGGCGACCTCCGGCGTCGTTCTGCTCGGGGGCGCTGGCCGTGTCTTTGAGGACGGCCCTGTAGGCCTTGTCTGCATGTGGAACAACGCATGGGAAGCATCAGGAGGAGGAGGAGGAGAAGGAGGAGGAATAGGAAGACGAGGGGAGATGTTTTTCGTTGTGCTGTGCGCGTCTACAGGCCAAACATCCGAAGGGCTTTAGACATAGGCTAAACATCCAAGAGACTATGATTCAATCTCGCCGTCCGGGTGATGACCCCACTGCTTGCACAGCTTCTGAAGGTTAGGTCGGCATGTCCTCTTATAGGCGGATTCTGGGCGAAAAGTTTAAAATAGTGCAAGAACATTCGAAAGCAGTCCAAAAACGTGAAAACAAATCGTCCCCAGACTATGTTTTGACTGTGGTGGAATATTCCTCCTGTAGAAAGACACGCCCGACTGAAGGTTACAGTAGGGATGGCGAGCGAGCTCAAGGGTAGAAGTCCCCTCACAGGTTTGGTGCCCGAGGTGATGGGTCTCCTGCACGGACGGGCTGTCAGCAACTTCGCTGCACATGCACCCCCGAAACCTATGCATAGGGCAACCTATGCATTGGGCAATCGACTTGTTCTTAGCGGGGAAGGCCTCGTTTGAGCCCCGTGCAGCCCCTCGCGCGGGTCACTGGTCGAGTGCGTCGCGCCTCTGGCCTCGGCACCGCGCGGCTCGAGGAGGAGCCTCGGAGCTCTCTGCGACCAGCATCCGCGCCCGCCGCAGCAGCTGGAAGAGCCTTCTGTCCAACAGTCATGGGCACAGCGGATGGCAGTCCACAAGAAAACTTCCACAAGAAACCCAAACCCTGAGACCCCAGGACGCCCCTTGATTTTGAGCGTGGGAGCGTCGGGCTTTCCATGGCACCCTTTTCCCATGGAAGAACACTCGATGATGAGAACTGCCAGCATCCCAACTGATGGGAAGGGGACTCCACCATACCAAACCTGGCTGGCTAGACCGTGCAAGGAGAGGGCAAGTGGGCAGCGTGCTCACCAAGCCGGCTGCCACGATCAACGCTGCTTGAAACCAGGCCGAGGGCCAGAAGCGAAAAACGACCAGCATCCACACCTGCCGCAAGAGCTGAAGGAGCCTTCTGTCCAACAGTCATGGGCACAGCGGATGGCAGTCCACAAGAAACCTTCCACAAGAAACCCAAACCCTGAGACCCCAAGACGCCCCTTGATTTTGAGCGTGGGAGCGTCGGGCTTTCCATGGCACCTGTTTCCCATGGAAGAACACTCGATGATGAGAACTGCCAGCATCCCAACTAATGGGAAGGGGACTCCACCATACCAAACCTGGCTGGCGAGACCGTGCAAGGAGAGGGCAAGTGGGCAGCGTGCTCACCAAGCCGGCTGCCACGATCAACGCTGCTTGAAACCAGGCCGAGGGCCAGAAGCGAAAAACGACCAGCATCCACACCTGCCGCAAGAGCTGAAGGAGCCTTCTGTCCAACAGTCATGGGCACAGCGGAGGGCAGTCCACAAGAAACCTTCCACAGAAACCCAAACCTGAGACACAGGACGCCCTTGATTTGAGCGTGGGCGGTCGGGCTTTCCAGCGCACCTTTTTCCCATGGAAGTACACTCGGATGATGAGAACTGCCAGCATCCCAACTGATGGGAAGGGAAATCCACCATACCAAACCTGGCTGGCGAGACCGTGCAAGGAGAGGGAAAGTCGGCAGCGTGCTCACCAAGCCGGCTGCCACGATCAACGCTGCTTGAAACCAGGCCGAGGGCCAGAAGCGAAAAACGACCAGCATCCACACCTGCCACAAGAGCTGAAGGAGCCTTCTGTCCAACAGTCATGGGCACAGCGGAGGGCAGTCCACAAGAAACCTTCCACAAGAAGGGCATTTCCACGTTAACGAGGTCGAGCGGGTCACAAGCGGCTTGCACGTCGGCCTGCTTGAAACCAGGCCGAGGGCCAGAAGCGAAAAACGACCAGCATCCACACCTGCCACAAGAGCTGAAGGAGCCTTCTGTCCAACAGTCATGGGCACAGCGGAGGGCAGTCCACAAGAAACCTTCCACAAGAAACCCAAACCCTGAGACCCCAGGACGCCCCTTGATTTTGAGCGTGGGAGCGTCGGGCTTTCCATGGCACCTTTTTCCCATGGAAGAACACTCGATGATGAGAACTGCCAGCATCCCAACTGATGGGAAGGGGACTCCACCATACCAAATCTGGCTGGCGAGACCGTGCAAGGAGAGGGCAAGTGGGCAGCGACCTCGCCAAGCCGGCTGCCACGATCAACGCTGCTTGAAATCAGGCCGAGGGCCAGAAGCGAAAAACGACCAGCATCCACACCTGCCGCAAGAGCTGAAGGAGCCTTCTGTCCAACAGTCATGGTCACAGCGGATGGCAGTCCACAAGAAACCTTCCACAAGAAACCCAAACCCTGAGACCCCAGGACGCCCCTTGATTTTGAGCGTGGGAGCGTCGGGCTTTCCATGGCACCTTTTTCCCATGGAAGAACACTCGATGATGAGAACTGCCAGCATCCCAACTGATGGGAAGGGGACTCCACCATACCAAACCTGGCTGGCGAAACCGTTCAAAGAGAGGGCAAGCGGGCAGCGTGCTCACCAAGCCGGCTGCCACGATCAACGCTGCTTGAAACCAGGCCGAGGGCCAGAAGCGAAAAACGACCAGCATCCACACCTGCCGCAAGAGCTGAAGGAGCCTTCTGTCCAACAGTCATGGGCACAGCGGAGGGCAGTCCACAAGAAACCTTCCACAAGAAACCCAAACCCTGAGACCCCAGGACGCCCCTTGATTTTGAGCGTGGGAGCGTCGGGCTTTCCATGGCACCTTTTTCCCATGGAAGAACACTCGATGATGAGAACTGCCAGCATCCCAACTGATGGGAAAGGGACTCCACCATACCAAACCTGGCTGACGAGACCGTGCAAAGAGAGGGCACAAGAAACCTTCCACAAGAAACCCAAACCCTGAGACCCCAGGGCGCCCATCGATTTTTGGTGTGGGAGCGTCGAGCTTTCCATGGCAAAAGCCTTCGAAACCCAAGAAACTCAGGGCACCCTGGAGGCAAGCAGGGTGTTTCTTGGTAGGGTCTCCACCAGCATAGTTCTCTGCGACCAGCATCCACACCTTCTTTTGCCCATGGAAGAACACTCGATGATGAGAACTGCCAGCATCCCAGCTGATGGGAAGGGGACTCCACCATACCAAACCTGGCTGGCGAGACCGTGCAAAGAGAGGGAAAAGGGGCAGCGTGCTCGCCGAGCCGGCTGCCGCGATCAACGCTGCTCGAAACCATGCCGAGGGCCGGAAGCGAAAAGCGACCAGCATCCACACCTACCGCAAGAGCTGAAGGCAGGAGGAGGAGGAGGCGGAGAAGGAGGAGGAGGAGGAGGGGGAGGAACGAGGGAGGGAGGGAGGGAGGGAGGGGATGAAGAAGGGAGTGGAGGGAAGGAGGGAGGGAGGGAGGGAGGAGGGAGCAGGAGGAGGAGTGGGAGGAGGAGGAGGAGGAGGAGGAGGACGAGGAGGAGGAGGAGGAGGAGGGGAAGAGGAGGAGGAGGGAGGCGGGAGGAGGAGAGGGGGTGGGAGGGAGGGCGGGGAGGGAGGGGAGGAGGGAGGGAGGAGGGAGGGAGGAGGAGTGAGTAGGAGGAGAGAGGAGGAGGAGGAGGAGGCGGAGGAGGAGGAGGAGGAGGAGGAGGGGAAGTGGAGGAAGGGGAGGTGGAGAGGAGGAGGTGGAGGAGGAGGAGGAGGAGGCGGAGGAGGAGGATGGGAGGAGGAGGAGGAGGAGGAGAAGGAGAAGGAGGAGGAGGAGGAGGAGGAGCGGAGGACGGAGGAGGAGGAGGAGGAGGAGGAGGAGGAGGAGGAGGAGGAGGAGGGAGGGGAGGCGGAGGAGGATGGAGGAGGAGGAGAAGGAGGAGGAGGGGGGAAGGAGGAGGAGGAAGAGGGATGGGCATGGTGAACGTGCCTGCCCGCCAAGAACAGCGGGCGCTGAACTCGGGCAAGAGGCCTTGTCACGCCGGGGCGCTCCCACAGGCTCTCGCCGACCTCAACGGTCGACTAGGAGCGCTTGCCGTCAGCCTTGCGCCCGCGCCGGAGGTCCCCAGTTGGAGGCCTGGAAATTGGCACCAACACCAACACAGGGGGCTGAGTCTTTTGCCTGGATATTCATAATTCCAAGCAACATGTTCCGAACATATATCATGGTCAGTGGGCTCCGCCGATGACTTGGGGAAGAAAGGATAATGCCGTTAAGCATACACTAAGGTACCACCGAAGGGAGGAGGCCGGCCCGCCGGCCGACGCACGCGCGCGCGCCGCAGGTTCGTTCCTTTTCCGTTTCCCTAGAGCCAAAGTGGTATAGCTGCGGAAGCAGAAGCACTCAGTACGTCGGGCAGCGCGCGAAAGCAGAAGGAGCAGGCAGGGCGAAAGGTTGGTGGTGCGGAAGGGGTGCATTGACTGGCTGCCTCCACAGGGGGAAGATGATCCTCAATTTCGGCGTTGGTGGTAATATTTCGGTCACCTTGGAAGCCAGAATATAACCACCATCACCGAGATCGGGATCGTCTTCTCTCGGTGGCGGCACACCACCGATCTTGGTGTTGGTGCCAACCTCTAGGCCTGCGACCCAGGATCCTCTTCCAGTATCTTCCACCGCATCTGTCGCAATGGCCGCGCAGGACGAGCTGACGATGCGAAGAACGCTGTTCGACTTCCGCTTGACACGTTTGCCGCAACCCTGGCACCTCCAATCAAACATGGCGGGCCAGAACACGTGCGAAGAGCCTTCGCTGGCCGAAAAAAAAATGGCCGCCTTCCGCCTGATGAGCTGGGGAAGCCGTGTTCGCGCGAGCTTCCTGGCTGGGTTTCGTGCAGAGCACACACACTTTCAAGTATATGGTGGCATTGCGCTTCAGAATATTTACACCGCCTGTTCAACAAAACTAGTCGCGTCCCGAACTAATCGCGGCGGTAACTGGCAAAACTTCGCCATATGAGAGGCAAGGGCGTCAGCAATGCAAGTGATATAGAGAGGCTCCATATCAGCCTAAGAGAGATGTTTGTCGAGTTTGGCTTCATTTTCCGCCAGATGACTCGGAATGCGCTCCAACGTGAAACGGGCACTTCTCTCACGAAGAGCTTGCCACAACTCGAACCACAGGTCGGCGCTCTGGTGGCCCAGGGTGTAATGAAACTGCTTTCACATGGTTCCGGTGGTTCGTGACAACGGAAAGATCCTGGCCAGGCACAGCGCGTCGAGCAACCTCGACAACTGCAGCCAACTCAGCTCTAGGCACGGTCTGTCGCCTGCCCCCCAACACGCTTTACCTTCCCACATCCCGATCGGGCTCGGGGCGGGGACGACACAGTCGAGCAAAGGCAGAAGAGCAACGCCTCAGAAGCGGATCGGCTGCCAGCGGGCCGCCTGAGCTATGTGCCACCGGGCAGTTCATGGAAATCGGGGGGGTAGGTCGGACATGTCCTACTACAGGCGGGCTTTGGAGGAAAATAAAAAGATAGTCGACAATCGTCCCCAGACAAATTGTTCACTATTTTTGAAGTAGAAAGACACGCCCGACTTAAGGTTAGGGATGGCGAGCCAGCTCGAGGGTAGAAGTCCCCTCACAGGCTTGGTGCCTGAGGTGATCGGCCTCCTGCACGGCAGGGCTGTCAGCAACTCTATTGCACATGCACCCCCGAAACCTATGAATTGGGCAATCGGCAAGACGATGGCACCGCTGGCAAATAGAGTTTTACGACAAGCTTGGCGTCCGCTACAGGAGGAGGCGGAGGAGGGGGAAGGAGGAGGAGTAGGAGGATGGCCCTGTGGGCCTTGGCCATGTCGAATGAGAAGCCCCCCGCCTCGCTTTTCACGATGGCGTCGGCGATGGAGACGTCGCTCATGGTGCCGACCATGGAGTCGCGGTTGCCAGGCGAGGCCCACTGGGGGATCCACCCATTCTCGTCGAACGCGTTCAGCCAGCCATCCATCAGGTGGCCGAGGTTCTCTGGGAAGGCGATCGAATTCAGGGGGTACACCGTGTGGTACGCGTCCCAGAAGCCGCTGTCCACAACCATCTTCCCGCTCTTGACTTTCCCGCTGAAGGGGCTGTAGTGCACCTCCTTTTAGGGGACTAGGGAACAGCATAAGCATAAACTCTCAACGCTCCGCGCGGATGTCTTGGATCTGCGCTGGGCCCCCCTCCCTAGCGCGGGGAGCGCGCCAGGGGTGGCGCTGGAGGCGCCGCCAGGGGGCCCAGCGCGGATCCACGACACCCGCGCGGGCATTCGAAGGTTTGTGTGTATGCAGATGTTCCTTCGTCGATCCTTGCCGTGCCTGTCCGTCTCCTGAAGGTATCGGGGAAAAAGCATGGACTTCCAGAGGTTGGTGTAGAAGACCTTTCAGAGCCCCGAATCATCAGGGCTGGGAGCCGTATTCCTTCTCCTTCTCCTCCTCCTCCTCCTCCTCCTCCTCCTCCTCCTCCATTCCTTTTCCTAATAAAACAACTTCTCCCTGTCGCAACCCGAGGCCAGTTTTTAGGACGGGCCGGGCGTTTCGCTGGAAATTTCTTCACCCTTTATGACCCTGAAGCTTAAGCATTGGCAACAGTTTCACAGATGGAGGGCGGATCGTTTTCAAAGTGTGGCTCTCGCCTTGGCGCCGTGCATCATCGTTTTAGACATGTACAAGAGCTTCACGGATTGAGGGCGACCCGTTTTCAAAATGTGGTTCTCGCCTTAGCGCCGCACATATTCGTTTTCACAAATTACAAGAGTTTCGCGGATTGAGGGCCCTTGGTGCCGCGCACATTCGTTTTTCTAATTTGCAAAAATTCGCGGAGTTCCATGATCAACGTACCAGACATTGTGTTTTGGAAGGACTCCCGATTATGAGGGTTCAACAGTCACGTTGATCCACGGTGCTGAAGTCCCAAGAATGGCGTTCTGGCACGATTCAGGATCGTCAAGACGCAACAGTCAGGTTGATCCGTGGCGTTGGAATCCCGAGAAAAATGTTTTGGCATGATTCAGACTCTTCAAACGGTTGTCTTCCAACGAGGCAGTTCCCTCAGTGGAAAAGAACTGGTGCAGGAGCCTATGAAGAGGGAGCTTGGGGGGAGGGTTTATTCCAACATCGTTGATGACTCTTGGGTTTACACTGGTGGTACTTACTCCGCCCCTCATCTACTACTACTCCCGTCCAATCTCGGTCCTCTCATCATCGTCGTCTTACATCTCCTCCTCCCCTACCTCCGCCTTCCTTCTCCCTCTCATACATTACCCCCCCTCCCCCTCCCCCTCCTTCTCCTCCTCCCCCTCCCCCTCCTTCTCCTCCTCCTCCTCCTCCTCCTCCCTCCTCCTCCCTCCTCCTCCTGCCTTCTCCCTCCTCGTCCTCCTCCTTCGGGCATCCGGGCCTTGTGCTGCGTGTCGTCCTCCATCCGCACGGAGACGCGCCCCATGGCCTCCGACCACACCTGGCGGCCCTCCTCCACCACCTAGGGGCGAGGGCGTGAGATAAGGACCCCGTGGACAAGGACCCCGTGGACAACCCAGACCCCCTCGAGTCATGAAAAAATCACGACGGGAGGTTTTTCTATATTTTCGGCCTCCGGGGGCCCCCAGCGGCCCTCGGGACCGTCAAAAAACGACTCGGGGTGAAAAACCGGTCCCGGCGAAGAAGTCCAGACCTCTGGGGGTCGCGTCATGAAAAAATCATGACGTCGGGGGTCTGGGAAGGAATCCAGGGACAACGAATCCAGGGTCTGGCAGCCAGGGACACGGAATCCAGGGACCAGGAATCCAGGGTCTGGAATCCAGGGGCCAGAAATCCAGGGACAAGGACTCCAGGGACAAGGCCTGGGCACCAGTGGACAAGGAATCAAGGGTCTGGGATCCAGCGGAACACCAATTAAGGCTTGGCCATGGATATCACCGCCGCCGCCTCCAAGGTTTAAGGCCTCCTGAGCACGTTCCTTAACCAACGCCCCCCACCATAGAAAACGAAACAACCGCCGCAAACGCAAACCTTCGGAGCTCCACGCGGACTTCTTGGATCGGCACTGGACCAAGGAGCGCGCCAAGGGTGGCGCTGGAGGCACCGCTAGGGGGGCTCAGCACCGATCCGGGACATCCGCGCGGAGCTCCGACAGACTACGCTTATGGCGTGTGCGTTGTCTTCTTCGGCTACCGACTCGAAGCTCTTGTCGCCGACCTCCTGCTTCAGGTTCAGCGCGGCCTGCTCCATGGAGATCAGGCTGGTGGCCTTAGTGTCCGGCTGATCGCTTGGCCGATCAGGCGATCCGATCGCAACCCTGATCACGATGGCTACAGTCTTCATCACTTGGACGACCACGTGATCGAGGCCAACCGATCACGTGATCGGCGATCACGTGATCCCCCGATCACTGCGATATGTGGTCGCCGATCGCGTGATCAGCAGACGCTGAGCTGGTGGCCACCCCGAACTCTACCGTCTCGACGCCGTGGTCGAAGTGGAGCCTGACGAACGAGCACGGTTTCGGGGCGCACTCCTCTTCTTCCACGCGCTTGGGCTGCTCGCTGAAATTCATGACGAAGTGCATCTTGAAATCCTGAGCGGAAGAAGCTCAGAAACGTAAGCCTTCGAAACTCCGCGTGGATTTTCTCGGACCGGCCCTGGCCCCCCCTCCCTGGCGCGCGGCGCGCGCCAGGGGCGGCGCTGGAGGCGACACCCAGGGGGGCCCGGTGCGCATCCAGTACATCCGCGCGGACCTTCGAGAGTTGATTCCATGCAGTTGTTTTAGAGGTCTCCTAGAGATTCTAGAGATGGGACCCGAGTTGATGGAGGCGGAGGATCGCGCCGCATCGCCGACGCATCAGCGATGCATCGTCGATTCGTCAGCGGTGCATCGGCGGCGCCAGCAGAGCGAGTCAGGCTCCACATCGAACCGCATCGGCGATGCATCGGCGATGCGGCGCGATCCTCCGACACCCAGCTGCTCGGACCCCACTTGGGAGGCCCAAGTGCTTGTTCTTCGGATCCTTCGGAACCGCACCTTGGGCAGCCGTGGAGGTGTAGCCGCTCAGGAGGCGGCGCTTCGACACGCTGGCGCCCTGCGGCACCTTCACGACGATGCTGCCGGGCTCCGCGGAGCCCACAGGGAAGGTCACGCGTGCCGCGCCAGCGTGGCTGGTGGGCGAGAACTGAAACTGAAGGCGCTCCGACGGCTCCGCCTGCAGGGTAGCGTGATCTACATACATATATATATATATGATCCCGGGCTGGCTGGGCCCATCGCCCCTCCCCCAGCCGGGATGGGTCTCAGGGTCCCTCGGGCCCCCCCCCCCACCCCCTGATGGGATGGGGGCGGACGACCACGACAACGACGACGACGACGACGACGACGACGACGACGACGACGACGACGGCGACGGCGACGGCGGCGGCGACGGCGACGGCGACGGCGGCGGCGACGACGCCAACGCCGACGGCGGCGACAACGACGACAACGACGACGACGACGGCGTCGACGACGACGACGACGACGGCGACGACGGCGACGACGACGACGACGACGACGACGACGACGGCGACGGCGACGACGCCAACGCCGACGGCGGCGACAACGACGACAACGACGACGACGACGACGACGACGACAGCGGCGGCGGCGGCGGCGACGACGACCAGCACACGCGCCCCACCCACAGCACCGCACCACACCTACAAGGGGGGGGGCATCGCGCCGGGGGGGGGGTAGGGGGCCACATGCGAACCCTACCCCTACCCCCCACGATTTCTGAAGGGGGAGGGTGGGGTTCAGTTTACTCGGGAGCCGCCGAACGAAGTGAACCCCACCCTCCCCCTCAGAAATCGTGAGGGGTAGGGGTAGGGTTCACATGTGGCCCCCTAGGGGGGGGGGGGACCTGATGGCATCAGCATGAGGGGGAGGGCCCAAACCCTGGGCCGTGTTATGATCGGCCACCACCGCTGGCCGGGCCCCTCCTGGGCCCCGGAGCGGCGCGCGCCCCCCCCCCTTGGCTTGGCCAGGGAGGCGTTGTGCGCCGCTCCTGGGTCCAGGAATGGGCCTGGCCGGCGGCGGTGGATGTGTACAGATCTCGCCGTCCAAGCCTGACGATCCTTCCCCAGCGAGGTGCTGAAGAGGTACGGCTTCCACGTGGACTCCTGCGGAGAGTAGTGCAGGTAGCCGTTGGGCGGCTCCTTCTTCTGTCGTGTGAAATACTCAGGTTGGGAGCTGGCGGTATGGCTGCCGATGTCTGGCATGATGCTGAAGTAGCCCCAGTCTCCCAGCCAGGGCGACGGCTGATGCGAGCACTTGAAGCCCATGAACGTCCTCTCGGCGGTGTGGAACCACCACGGGTTGTCGTTCAGGCTGCCAGAGGTGTGAGGGGCCCAGTCGTTGAACCCCCAAGGCCTCTTCACCTGATGGAGGAACAGAAAACTGCACAAACTGACACTTTCGGAGCTCCGCGCGGATTTTCTCGGATCGGCGCTGGGCATACAGTCATCGGCCTGACCTAAGGAACGATAAATAAGGAACGAAGCCCCTTTCTTCCAAGGAATAACGCATAGGAAACGATGAACAAAAAATACATAACGCATAGGGAACACTAAATAACGCATGCAAGCCTAAGGAACGACCGAGCCCCTTTTCAAAAGTAAGTGTTCCTTATTCAAGCCGCTCACTGTACCTCCCTGGCGCGGGCCCGCTCGGAACACCGCTTGATCTGCATGTATGCGGCTGTCTGTTGTCAAAATCAGTTTCCTCCTCCTCCTCCTCCTCCTCCTCCTCCTCCTCCTTCCCCTCCTCCTCCTCCTCCTCCTCCTCCTCCTCCTCCTCCTCCTCCTCCTCCTCCTCCTCCTCCTCCTCCTGACCCCTTTCGAGGTCCAGACGCGCCAGTTCTCCTGGCTGCGCCCCGCCGCCGCGACGAGGGGGCTCCCCAGAGGGCAAGCTGCTGCCGTCTCGGCCCGCCCCTGCCCCTGCCCCTGGGGGAGCCCGAGAAATACCAGCGGGTCCACAAAGGACGTACGCGCCCAGCTATATACGTGAACACGGCCCCTCGATCCGCGAGACCTGCCGCACGACACGAACATTCGCGCAATGCGTACTCTCGAGACCAGCGTGGATTCATGTGCGTGTCCGTCCTCCTTCCGCTCGTGAGAGACGGATGCAGCTGCTCCCCGGACCGCTCCCCGGGTGCGTAGCTGACCAGGATTTCGAGGCGGATCCAGCCGTGGCGGCGAGGGTCTCCCAGGAGGCCGAAGGAGGCAGCAGCGAGGGCGAGGTATCGGTATCGGTACCTCGTCCTCCTCTGAGCCGCTTCACCCCCCCCCTCCGCTGATGGATTCCGAGGTGGAAAACAACATGGTTTTGCTGATCCCTCGGCCGTCGTTTCTTGAGAAGGTTCGTTTCCAGGAGTCGTGCCACTCAGGCACCGAGGGTTAGCTGCTCTGACGCGCCCGTTGTGGCGAGCGAGGCCTGACCTCGACTAAGCCTCACAGTCTCATACAGTGCGGGCGCGGCCGCAAGAAACCCTTGCAAGAAGCCCAACCCTGAAAACCCGCGCGCGAGGTGCACCTGAGGGGAAGCCCCCGGAGCACCCTGAACGCAGCAGCTTCTTCCACGGCTGTGGGAAGTCACCGCGCAGCGCGCGGAGCGAAGAAACCCAAGATACCCTGACGAAAAGCACATGGTTTCTTGATGCGCGCCCCCAACGTAGTCTGATCTTCACCTGAGGCAGGGTGTTGCCGTTGCTCATCCTGTCGGACAGCTGAGTGCCGGCCAGCATCTGCACCAGCTCCACCGCCGCCTCCCCATCGGTCGAGGGGACGACTGCCAGGGCGGAGGCCGCCGACGGCAAAGCCACGAGCAGGCTACAGAGCAGGGCGACCATCACCATGCATGAAGAGGCCCAGGCACTGATGGGGCAGCGAGAGGGGGGGGGGGGCCGAGGCTTCGGGGCTCGAGGTCCTCGGACGCCCTCGCTGGCTCTCGGCGTCTCGGAAATGTGGAGGAGAAGGGGGGGCAGGACGAGGACGAGGAGGAGGAGGAGGAGGGGGAGGAGGAGGAGGAGGAGGAGGGCGGAGGAGGAGAGCAAGGAGGAGGAGGAGGAGGAGGAGGATGGAGGAGGAGGAGGAGGAGGAGGAGGATGCATTCCAGCAGCTGGAGCCTGGCCGAGGGCGTCGGGACCCCCGGCCGTCCCGCACGGAACCGCGGGAGTCCCGAGCTGTGGCGCGGAGGACATCCTCCCTCACTCCTCTCCCATCCTCCTCTCTACTCCTCACTCCGCATCCTCCTCCCCACCTCTTCACTCTCCTCCCTCCTCATCCTATCCTACTCGACTACCTCCCCCCTCTCACCCAATTCCTCCTCCTCCTCCTCCTCCTCCTCCCACCGGGGGCCAGCTCGCCGATGGGGGGGGGGGGGCATCGACCCGGGTGGCGTCACGGCGGCGGGTCGCCGATATAGGACGTCGGAGGCCGGCCCCCTGCCTGGCATCCGCACGCTCCCGGGCGGGGTCGGCCACCAGGTCTCCCTATCGGCGATCTACACGCGACGATAGCGCCAGCGCGTGCTTGTCCGCCGGAGCCCCTCGGCATGGCGCGGGCGGCGTTCTGAGGGCCGGCGCGGGCTGCGCGCTGCCGGTGGGGCTGGCCAGGGTAAACACACGTTGGGCCAACACGCGTCCTGAGGATCGTCGATCCACCTCTCGAGGATGGACAGACCCCCCTTTAGTAAAACGTGGTTTAGTGAAAACGACCCGAGGCCCAAACCTGGCGGGCGCAAGCCTGGAAGATAACGGCCGCGGCGCCATCTTGAGAACCGAAAACGGACAATTCACTAATCGACGTGTCATTGTTGGGGGTTCTGTCCACCCCCGACTATCCCCCCCTGACATTGCCCCTGAGGTCCAGTCAACGCGCACAGCAAGGGCGCACGGTGCGGACGCACGGGGCTGGGAGTGTCATGTCGGCACTCCTCGAGCGGGGCACGGCCAGCGAAAGTGGCCAAGGGTGCACCGAAAGGGCGAGGATGCAAGGGTAACCTTGGGAAGACGCTCATCCTTATTATCCGCGTTGACTGCATACCTCTCCAAGAAACTAGCTGACTGTACAGTACGCGAAGGGCACTACTACATCTCGAGCCAGGATGCGCAGAAGCGAGGCTAGGGGGGGCAGGAGGACCCCCAACGAACTCGCGCAACAAATGGCCGAGCCCGACAAAAATACATGGGCACAAACATGCTGACGTCTTCTTCTTATTATTCTTCTTCTTCTTCTCCTCCTCCTCCTCCTGCAAAACTCCGAGGAGGGTTCTGCACGGGAGCTCGGTGACAGCGATGACGATCGGTCACCTTTTTACTTCCGCACGGCGAAGCGAGTCTCGGTAGCTTCAGCCGTTAAACACTTGAGCCAAAGGCAACGGGGGCACCTTCACTCCCCAGTCACCTGAATGCTTACATGTTAACACCCCCCCTCGGACGCTCGTCCGTATAGGATGACGGGGAGGCGTCTACAATCACAAAAACAGGTCAAACTATACAAAACGTCGCACGCAAATGACGCTAAGTCTCTTCATCACACTGTTGAATTCGAAATGTCTCGTGACGGCGCTTACGAGCACCAAGTTTCTCACACATGTAACCTGAGCTCGAGTAAACGCTTTTACTGTCACAAGTTCAAACGAAGCATCTAAAGTTTACACAGCAGGCTAGCATTTGGATGATTTTGATTGCTTTCGCTTTTTATTCGCCAATACCTGCGGTAACAACAAGAGATGCGCATGCAAACAAACTCAGCTCAACAAGCTGCCGCCACTCGATCGTTAAGCCAAGTTAAGAAGGGAGATGAGGAAGAGCGTGAACTGCAGCATGCTGACTGCCTGCCATCTTTCACGGACGGCGCGGGCGCCTCGCCGACGGGGCTCGTGAACCCCTCGACCTCGGTAACCCGCGATGGCCCACACCGGCTGCGGTGTAGGACGACACCCTGTTAAGGGCCTGCATCGGGCTATAGTAGTCGTTGTCCATGTACGCGTTAATGCGCTCCTCGTCGTCAAGCCAGCACCCCTCATCGTAGCTCTTAATTGAGCCGTCAACGATGTTGTGGTAAGTGCCGATGGCTCTCCAGTAACTGGCGTGGGGAGCCTTTAACAGAGGCCCACCGCCTGGATTGTTACGGAGGTGCTCTTCGACCGCAGCGCCGGTAAACGGGTTCACAGTCCAGGCCGGATCGGTAAGCCAGTTGGGGAAGTCGACGCACGGTAACCAGCCAAACCAGCAAAGCTTCTCACGGTGATCGCTTTTACGCTCGGTGACATGATCGGCCGGCCAATTATCACGGTAAAGTGCCCTCATGGATCCCTGATCGTTAAGGGCAACTTCCAAGATGGTCTGGTGCCAGTAGACTGGAGGCTTGCTGATACTGCCCTTTAACTCCGCGGTGCTCCTGACCTCGGGGTCGTCGATGAAGTAGTTACGGTAATGCACCTGGAGCCCGTTCATGTAACGGCAGTAAAGCCTGGCGAGATCGGGCGTCGCAAAGCGAATCACGGCAACTCCAGTCGAGATGTAACCGTGCGGCCCATGGGTGTCCTCTACCAGGTGCTTAACAGAGATCACGGTGGGGTTGCCGCGGGGCAGCATTCCTGCCCACGTTAAGAGGAGACCGTTAAGCTGCTTCTCGTTCATCTCCGGCACCTTGTTGACGTACACCTGCGTGTCCGGGCAACTGTGGTGCTCAAACCACGATGAGTGAAGCTCGTTAAGGTAGAGCGGTGGCACGTAGTCATCGTCAAATAGGGACTGCACGTGCCCAACCGCGTCAACCCATTCATCATGCTTGGTCAACTCTTTGTCCGTTAACTGAGATCTCCAGCTGATCGGACCTTTCAACACGGCATAGCCGATGAAACCGTAAGCGTGTTGGCCGAAGATGTCAACGAACACGTCCTCGTAATCGTTAAGCTCCCGCCCGGTGTTTCTTTTTTTCTCCCCCCCCCTTCTATATTTTTTTTTTTTTTTTTCTTTTTTTTCTGTTCTTTTTTGTTATTTTTTTTTTTTTTTTTTTTTTTTTTTTATTTTCTTGTTGTCTTCTTTTTTCCTTCCTTTTTTTTTTTTCTTCTCTTTTTTCTTTTTCTCTTTTTTCTTTTTTTTTTTTTTTATTTTCTATTTTTTTTTTTTTTTTTTTTTTTTCTATCTTTTTTATTTTTTTTTATTTATTTTCTTACTTTTGTTTTTTTTTTTTTTTTGTTTTCTTTTTTTTTTTAGTTTTCTTTGTCTCTTTTTTTTTTTTTTTTTTTTTTTTTTGCTCTGTTTGCTTTTTTCCTTCTTTTTCTTTTTATTTGTTTGTTTTTATTTTTCTGTTTTTTTTTCTTTTTTTTTTTTTTTTTTTTTTTTTATCTTTTTGCCCTGAATGGACCTGCCGCCAGGGGTCGTTAACCCCGCCTTCGCCACGTGCCCGACGAAGTTGCCCTCAAACCTGCGCCAGTTATCACGTGTCTTCATCGTTAAGGCTACCACCTCTCTGGGGTCAGGTTCCGCCCGAAAGTTAACGTCGTAGTCGTCGCTCCTGTCGTTCAGCATGGACATGCGACCGTTGACGTGGTACAGCGGGCGGTACACCGCCTTGGCGACGGTCCTGGAGTACCCCTCAACCTGATCAGTCGCGCGGTTAACGACTTGAGGCTGCGGTGGCGGGACGCGCTGGATCGGTAACCTCTTGGGCTCTGGAGGCGGGGGCTTCACGCCGGCAACGCTGCTTGCCGCTCTGGACTCGCCGAGCCCCGGAGGGGGCGGCTTGGCCGGCCTCGCATTTACGACGGGGGCAGGATCCTTTGGCGCCTCATCACGTTGACCACCAACCGTTCGATCCTCGTCCATCTTCATGCCTATCTGCATCAACTCCTCCAGCTCCCGTTGACGTTCACGCATGGCCTTCGGCGCCCGCTTGTAAACAGGCTGTGGCTCTTCACCGCCCTGCCGGCTCAACGGTGACGGTCGAATCTTGTTCGGTGACACGGACCGCCGACTCCCCCCGGCTTTAGCGGTTACGCCAGCCAGGTCCTGAGTAGGGGGGGCCTTGCCTGGCGGAGCCACGTTAACCTGCTGCGCTGGGGGCGCGCCCGCGGCCATGGGCCCGACTGCCGCGGCGGCGGCAACGGGTGGCGCCTTGGCGGGTGCTGCCGTCGGGGGCGACCCAGGCAACGGCGGCGGCACCTGCGGAATATCGGTAACCGAGGAGTTGATCGGGTCATCCAAGAACTTCTGCAAACCCTCAAGCCTCTCGGTAACTCCCACTAGCATACGTAGCGCCGCATCACGTTCACCTTCGAAGTCCTGCAGGGGCGTGATATTCTCGGCAAGGCGCCTGGCGGTATTCAAGAGGCAACCGATATTTTCGTTAATGTGCCGGTACTTGGTTGCATTCTCCGCCGTGTTAACCTCCGAGTCGCGATTCTTGATGTTCAACTCTGTCACCGTCGCCACAAGGTTGTTAACCTCGTCCTGCGCCCTCTTGAGGTTCTCGTTGACATCGTCACTGGCGTGAACCAACGCGGTGTTCTGCTGCGTTAAGTCAACGATCCTCCGCGCCATGTCATCGGCAACCCTCTGCATCTCGTCAACGTGCTTATCATAGGCCCCGTGGAAGTTAATGGCCATGTTGGTGAGGGTCACGGTAAACGCATGAGCCACGTTGACGATATCGTCGACACGGCGATTGAGGTTCTCGCGCGTAACCGGTCCTGCCCCAGGCGGGCTCTGGTCGACCGCCGCGCCGTTGATCGTGACGTTGACTTGATGGTCCGCCATGCTTTCGTTCACGCTCGAGGGAAAGAGGTAAAGGATGGAGGAAGCCTTAATCAAGACTGCTTGCTTGACAGAAATGAGCTGCGGATGTC